ACAAAAAGAAACATCACACTTAAGTGGGCCCAGCAGCCAGAGGGAGGAAGAATAAGCACAGTCCTTAGAACAGACCCAAATGAAATAGGAAACAGGTGGCCCTTGCATGAAAAATAATTAGGGTATGTTATGGCCTGAATGTTTGTGTCCCCTCCCCCAAATTCATGTTTGAAGCTCTGACCCCCAATGTGATGGTATTTAGAGGTGGGGCCTTTGGGTGGTGACTAGGTTTAGGATGAGGTCATGGGGGTGGGCCCTTATGATGGGATTAGTGCTCTTATAAGAAGAGAAAGAGAGACCAGAGCTTCCTCTTTCTGGCACGTGAGGACATGGTGAGAAGGCAACAGTCTGCAAGCTAGGAAGAGAGCCCTCATAGGACACGACCATGCTGGCACCTGGATCTTAGAGTTCCTAGCCTTCAGAACTGCAAGAAAGAAATGTTTTTTGTTTATGAGTTACTCAGTCTGTGGTGTTTTGTTACAATAGCTCCAACTGAGTAATAAGACAGAGTGCTTAAGGAGATCCAGGTACAACGTAAAATTTCTTCCTTGAACTTAAATTTTTAAAAGTCAGTAGATGATCTAGAGGCAAGGATGGTTACTTTTATGAATTGAATTAGTTACCCACAAGACAAAGTAGAAGTGCTGAAACATCACTGCCAGATACAAAGAGACGGAAACCATGGGGGAAAAGATACAAGACTTAGGAGGACAGATCCAGGACACCCAGCGTGTGAATAATAGGAATTCCAGAAGGAGACAAAGAAACAGAGGGAAAAGAAAAACCAATAATTACATAGAAGAAGAAAATTTACCCAAGTTGAAAATAAATCTGAGACTACAGTTTGAAGTGTTCAATGAGTTCTAGGTAGAATCGAATTTTTTAAAAAAAATCCACAATTAGGTACATTCTGATAAAAATCCTGAACTCTAAAGATGGAAAACAAGCATCTAGGCATAAGGAGCCAAGGTGCTTTCAGAGGAAAAAGCATCAGACTTCCTGTCAGCTTCAAAGTTCACTGGGAGAGAAGGCCTTTAGGTCAAGAATTTCATACCCTTTCAGTTTATCACCCACCCTTCAGAGCGAGGGAGGACGATATTAGACATGGCAGGTATCCAGAGAGTCTTTCATCCAGGTGCCTAGTCTGAGGAAAATACTAGAGGAAGGACTCTAACCAACACACAGAGACTATGCACAGAGACCCTAAGATAGGGGAAAATGAAAAGGAGAAGCACAAAGGTAATTGGTGATCCTTAGAAAAAGACCTGTCATTTCATGTAAATGGATATAGATAAATGCCTGGGACTGGGTAACAGAGTGCTAAAAAAAGAAGAAGAAGAAAAAGATAATTGAAAAAGAAGGGCCCTTCTACAAGCAAAATTCTAATTGTATCCCAACTAGAAGTATTGAGTTATTTTAGCAATGCCTAGTTGGTGTGGGGAAAAGCAAAAGACGGGGAGAAAAGTAAAAATCCTTCCACATAAATCATCTGGGGTTGAAGGATGAAGGAGGGTGGGTGTGAATGTGCTAAATAAGTGTCTCGTGTGGAGGAGAGGGGTGCTGTGCAGGGATAGAGCCTGGAGTAGGTGCGTACATGGTTATAAATGTTGGGAAAGGGGAGGTAGCCATTCATGGACTAGCAATGGCCAGAACATTCCCCAGTTAACAAGGGGAGAAAAGGCAATGAATGGTAACCTGATTAAAGCAGTCAAAATAGGGAAAAGGAGAAGGGAAACAACAACAAAAACACCGTAAATTGTAACTCTAAAGTGAGATGTAACAACAGCGTCCTACTGTGTAGCACAGGGAACTATATTCAATATTCTGTGACAAACCATAATGGGAAAGAATATGAAAAAGAATATATATTTCTCTATATAAAGAATATATATCTATATCTGTAGATACAGATATAGATATATATAATGTATAGCTGAGTCACTTTGCTGCACAGAAGAAATTAACACCACATTGTAAATCAACAATACTTCAGTAAAATTTAAAAAAAAGAAAGTGAGATGGAAGGACGAATGAAAATATAAGGTAGCATAATGTCACGATTGAGAGCACAGTCTGTGGAGCCAAGCTCCTGGTGCCAAATCCCAGCTCCCTCAGGCATTGCCTGTGGCTTTGGGCAAGTTACTTGATCACATAGAGATTTCACCACCTGTGAAATGGGGATAACAATAGTCCCTCCTTCATAGCGTTTTGTGAGAATTAAACCAGTTATCGTACCTATAGCACTTAGAACGGTGTCTGGTGTATAGTTAGACCAAGTAGATATTTGCTTTATTATTTACAAAGTATAGTAGCAATGTTAATAGTAGGTAAGATGAAACTGAATATTACAAGCACTAAATCAGATTAAAAAGTTATTATATAATGGCTATGGCCACTTGGATCATAAATCTGTATGTCCAAATAAAATGGCAGATAAATATGTAAAGTAAACAGCATTAAAAATGTAAGCAGACCTTGATGAAAGTATCTTACAGTGTAAGAATTCATAACACCTCTTCATCGTTGGAGTGATCTAGTAGACAAAAATAAATAAAGTCAGCAAGCTCAATCTAATATGCAATATTGAACCTTCTGTTCCTTGAATAGTTTTTTCATGAAACTTTTGAAAAATCAGTCATGTGCACAAAGCAAACCACAATACATTCAAAAAATTAAATATATTACAGATCATATTTTTGATCATAAGCCAGTACAGTTAGAAATAAATAGTAAAAATGATAGAAAAAAATCTCATTGAAAATGAAGAAATACAATTCTAAGTAATCTTTAGATACCTAGATATCCTTAGACCAAAGAAGAATTCAAAACTGAAATTAAAACAATAAAAAAGAAAACACTTAGCACACAACCCGTGGACACAGAAAATACTGTACTAAAATGAAAATGTCGGGACTTCCCTGGTGGCGCAGTGGTTGAGAGTCCGCCTGCCGATGCAGGGGACACGGGTTCATGCCCCGGTCCGGGAAGATCTCACATGCCGCCGAGTGGCTGGGCCTGTGAGCCATGGCCGCTGAGCCTGCGCGTCCAGAGCCTGTGCTCCGCAACGGGAGTGGCCACAACAATCCCTAGCCAGCAAAACAAAAAAAAAAAAAAAAAAAAAAAAAAAAAGAGAGAAAATGTCTTCATTATTAAGGAAGAAATAGTTAAAGTAAAGGAACTTGGTACTCATCTTTTAAAATAACAACAACAAAAAACAAAACAAAGAAAGCAAAAGAGAATAGATACTCAAGTTGACATCAGGCAAATCGGAAATTTTAAAAAAAATGGCTGAAAGGGAAACCATACGAGAAATCAAATCTTTCTCTTTGAAAAGGAGGGACTTCCCCGGTGGCGCAGTGGTTAAAAACCCACCTGCCAGTGCAGGGGACATGGGTTCAAGCCCTGGTATGGGAAGATCCCACATGCCGTGGAGCAACTAAGCCTGTGCACCACAACTACTGAGCCTGTGTGCCACAACTACTGAAGCCCGCACACCTAGAGCCCGTGCTCCACAACAAGAGAAGCCACCACACTGTTGGTGAGAAGCAACCACACAGTGGCCTGCGTACTACAACGAAGAGTAGCCCCTGCTCGCTGCAACTAGAGAAAGCCTGTGAGCAGCAACGAAGACCCAGTGCGGCCAGATAAATAAATAAATACATTTATTTTAAAAAAAAAAGAAGGAGAGAGTGTGGTAATGGGGTGGCGGGAATGTGGAGGACAGAATACAGGGAGAGGAGGAGGGAGGGGGAAAGGAGGCGCTGAACAAAAGGATAAGGAAACGTTCAAAGAAACGTCTGATGCGAACTTTTGCGATAAGGAAATGTTCAAAGAAACGTCTGATGCGAACTTTTGCTTTTGAGGGGTCTCCTGTAACCTAGGACTTGGGTTTTCATATCTGTCTGTCTGTCCTTAGTGCTTCTGTCTCAGATTCTGTGCTGGTTTGGCAGGCAGCATTGCAGCGTGGTTATGAGCTTGGATTCTCGAGCCAGGCTGCCTGGGTCAGTCCCAGCTAGCCACTTGCTCCCCAGGTGATGTTGGGTTTATCAGTTCAGCTGTTGGTGCCTCACTTCCTGGTCTATAGCACAGGTCTCCTGAGAATACCTCCCTCACAGGGCGCTGTGTGGATTTGTGCATGTCAGCGTGTATCGCAGCCCTGGGCTCCTCCCAGGACATGCTCAATAAATACCACAGATGCCCTCTTCATCTCCATCATTCCTTTGCAGATTTCCCAGGATGGATGCTCCACAAGTTCATGCTTTTGTGTTGGGTCATTCCATCTTCCAGTAGTTCTGCTTTCATTTAATGTCTTTTCTCTGAGACACATTCTACCATTCCAGTACTGTATAAATGTTGTTACGAATAGGTACTAGAAAGAATCATTAGCATTTGCTGTATTTACCATGTACTAGGCATTGTGCTAAGTGCTTTGTATGCGTTATCTTATGTAATGTTCCCATAAAGTGGCCTTAAGAGTATAATCACCATTACTATCAACAGATGAGGAAAAGGAAGCTCAGAAAACTTGAGACACTTTCCCAGGATCACACAGCTGGAGGGACTGGAATTTGGACCTCTTTGTCTGATGCCCCTCTTCCCCGCCTTTTTCTTGATTTATTATTTCCCAGATTTAGGGATCGTTCGCCTAAAACAATGACTATTAAAAAGCACCCTGGCGCGGGGTAAGACCTCTGAACTGTGCTCCACGAGTCCAGGCTGCTAGTCTCAGCTTTGCCTCTTCCTGCAGCGGGACCTCCATCAAGTCACCTGACATCTGAGTCTCAGTGTTTTTACTGGGAAATGCAGGGCCTTGGTCCAAGTGTCATCTCTGAGGTCTCTCTTCTAAGCCCCTGGTTCTCCATGTATATCAGGTGACTATTACAAAGGAGCCTCTTCTGAAAGGAGTTGAACATTCTTGTTTTTACCAAAAGCGTAAAATGCTTCTGTGGCAGCATGTGAATTCCCGGATGACTCCGTTAGTGTTTTTGTGTGTTGCTCAGGTACTCCAGGAGCAGATCCGCGCCCGGGACAACATTAGCTATGGAACAAATTCTGCCTTAAAGACTCTGGAGATGCGGCAACTCTCCGGCCTGGGAGATCTCCGGGGACGAGTGGCCAGGTAGGTGGTCAGATGTTTGCACCTTTATGTATCAGGAGCGAGTTTTCATCAACTCCATTTTAGTGGGGAATATATTCATGGAGCCCCAAAGCAAATCCTTTGCTTCTTCTAGTACATCCTCTCCTTTGCCCATAAAATGTAGCAGTGGCAGTTAGACCTTGTTTTGAGCAGCCCTGATTTCTTGTGCTTCTGTAGTTGGAGCTGTGTGTGCAGGAGTCGATGAGGGGAGGGCTCAGTTGACCTGAGTAATTTGCTAGGTTAATGTTATGTTTACTGAGCCCAATAATACACAGCTGGGACGTATAGTTTGTGTGTCTTTTTAAAATTTCACTTTTCTTGTCATTCATTTTTATTTTATTTTCTGAAAGTATCGGTCCATGGTAGATTGTACATTTGAAAAAGAGATCTTTCCCCTCAGGTAGGAGGAAGAGTGCTGTCCTAGGCACTCACTACTGAAAGGGTGCCCCATGGACCAGTAGCGTCCCTGTCACCTGGGAGCTTGCTGGAGGTGCACAATCTCTAAAGTGTTTGCAGGCCTCTTCTGCCCTCTCTTGCTGTCAAGGGTCAAGCAGGAGTGTACACAGGAGCTGTGGAGATAATACGGGATTCAAATCATCCAGAGGCGAGAATGAAAGTGGCCTGCAAAGGGTGGGAGGGGGAAAAGGGGACCCACAGGATCCAAGGCCTCTTTGGGATGTTAGGGGGTATTTGTGCAGACAACACATGAAGAGCCCTGAATATTTGGCCTGTGTATTTGGGTCCACTGGATGAACATCTGTCTCACAGCAGAGGGCTCCTGGTTCTACTCCTGTGTGATTTTCTGTCCTCAGCTGGGTGAACTCCAGTCTCAGTATGGCCCTTGGTGAGAGATACCCTGTTGACCCCCTTACCTCTCTCTACCCTCGCACTGTACCTTTCAGCAGTAATCCACTGCTTGCTGTTCCCTGAATGGGCCATGCTTTCCTATATCTGTGCCTTTGCACATGCTGTTCTTGTACCTAGCGTGCCTTTTCCCTTTCTTTTCTAACTTCTAGTCAGCCTTGAAAATTCAGCCTCCTCCAGGAAGTCTTCCCAGGTACCCCACTCTCTGTTCTATTGAGTCTCTCTGTTGTCTTGGGGTGGAGTACCGCATCTTTTATTTTTGTACCTTCAGTGCATAGAACAGTCTCTGGAAAACAGTAGGTACTCAATAAATGTTTGTTTGGATGAATTAATGGTTTGGAAAATCACTGTAATTGGACTGAGAAAACTTGAATCTTTTCTGTGGAGATCAGCTGAAACGAAACCCCAGCTCTGTTACACCTCTCAGAACTGTGAGGAGTTGAGGAGCTTCAGAGCTACAAGGCAGAGTAAGAACTTCAGGAGAACTTTGGAAATTTTCGTAGTCACTTGAGTTGCAGATGAAGATTAAGTGAGGCGATATATGTAAGAGGCTTAGTGTGTGCATGGGATGGAGTGAATATAGAGCAAATGGGACCTATTATTGTCTCAGGAGCAGCTGCAGTGAAATTATCCTCATAATACTGGTTCTAATTACAAAATTTTGAAATACTTTCAGGAGTTTTACATTTTTCTTCTGCAGTTTCTTACTAACTTCTCTACCCAGCTTGTTCTTTCTCTGTAAACAAATGCTTTTACTCCGAAACAATTAAAAAAAACATGTTGGAAGCACCACATATTTTTGCTTTGTTTTGTGGCTATATTCATCTTTTTCCCGGAACGCTAATGAGACTTTGTTGAAACAAACTCATGTGAAATAAAAATTCCTTGGCAAAGTTTCGGTTTTCTTGCATTAATTATATCGTGGTGTTGAAAGGGTATGAACTTTTACAGTGATAGTCTTAAATGACTAGGCTGCAATATTATTTCAGGTTTTATCTTATAGTGTTCATGGATCCATTGGTGAAGTAATTGATAGGAAACAGGTCCTGATTCCTCCGTGGAGATCCAGCTGGAAAGGGCAAAGGCAAATTATCTATGGAGGTGACAGACACCCCTACCCCACTAAGCAGAACACACCCTAAACAGGACTGTCTCAGAGAGTTTCCTACCCCTCCCTAACGCAGAGCTCAGAGTTTAGCTTTCCTGTTCCTAACGAGGCATTTGGTCCATTATTTGGCTTATCATCTTCATTTGTCCAAGACTCAGTGGCTTCATCCACTTTCCTCTATGAGGTCTGTTTGGATGGTGTCAGAGCCTTAGAGGAGAAATACCTGTGTACTGAGGCAGGTGTGCAAGTTCCCTCAGGGTAAGCAAGTCCCGATGTAAAGAAAAAAATAGATAAATTGGATATCATCAAGTTAAAAGTTTTTGGCCATTATAAATAATGCTGTTTTGAACATTCACGTACGAGTTTGTATGGTCATATGCTTTCATTTCTCTTGGATGTGTATACCTAGGAGTATAGTTGTTGAGTAATATGGTAACTCTGTATTTTACCCTTTGAGGAACAGAACAGCCAGACTGTTTTCCAAAGTGACTGCACCATTTTATGTTGGCAGCAGCAGTGTATGAGGCTCTGGTTTCTACACATCCTCTTCCACGCGTGTTATATGTCTTTTTGATTATAGGCAAGCTAGTGAGTGTGAAGTGGCATCTTACTGTGGTTTTGATTTGCATTTCCCTAATAACTAAAGGTGGTGAACATCATTTAATGTACTTATTGGTCATCTGTATATTTTCTTTGGAGAACTGTTTATTCAGATCCTTTGCCCCTTCTCAAATTGAGGGTTTTTTTTTTTAAATTATTGAGTTGTAGTAGTTCTTTATATAGTCTAGATACAATTCTCTTGTCAGATAGCTGATTTGAAAAAAATTTCCCCCATTCTAAGGGTTTTCTTTTTATGTTCTTGATTGGGTCTGCTTGGTTCCTTAAAAAAAAAATTCTGTCTCTTTATTGGTATTCTCTGCTTGATGAGATATTGTCAGTATCTCTTCCTTTCCTTTTTTTTTTTTTTTGTGGTACGCGGGCCTCTCACTGCTGTGGCCTCTCCCGTCGCGGAGCACAGACTCCGGACGCGCATGCTCAGCGGCCATGGCTCACGGGCCCAGCCGTTCCGTGGCATGTGGGATCTTCCCGGACCGGGGCACGAACCCACGTCCCATGCATCGGCAGGTGGACTCTCAACCGCTGCGCCACCAGGGAAGCCCCTCTTCCTTTACTTTTTAAAGCAAGTTTCCTTTATTTCTTTAATCATCTATATTTATAATGGCTGCCTCGAAGTTTTTGTCTTTTAAATTTGACCTCTGTGCTCTCTCACAGGCAGTTTCTTTTGCCTGCTTTTTCCCCTATGTTTATTTCACATTTTCCTGTTTCTTTGTATGTCTTACAACTTTTGTTAAAAACTGGATGTTTGAAAAATCTACAAACAGTAAATGCTGGAGAGGGTGTGGAGAAAAGGGAACACTCTTGCACTGTTGGTGGGAATGTAAATTGATACAGCCACTATGGAGAACTGTATGGAGGTTCCTTAAAAAACTAAAAATAGAACTACCATACGACCCAGCAATTCCACTACTGGGCATATACCCTGAGAAAACCGTAAGTCAAAAAGAGTCATGTACCAAAATGTTCATTGCAGCTCTATTTACAATAGCCAGGACATGGAAGCAACCTAAGTGTCCATCAACAGATGAATGGATAAAGAAGATGTGGCATATATATACAATGGAATATTACTCAGCCATAAAAAGAAACGAAATTGAATTATTTGTAGTGAGGTGGATGGACCTAGAGTCTGTCATACAGAGTGCAGTAAGTCAGAAAGAGAAAAACAAATACCGTATGCTAACACATATATGGAATCTAAGAAAAAAAAAAAAAAGGTCATGAAGAACCTAGGGGCAAGACGGGAATAAAGACACAGACCTACTAGAGAATGGAGTTCTCTAGTAGGTCTGTGCATCCCCAATATAATTCCTTTTTTAAAAATTAACGAATAGTTGATATACAATGTCATGCTACTTTTAGGTGTACAGTACAGTGAGATATATATATATATAATATATATATTCTTTTTCAGATTCTTTTTCCTTATAGGTTATTACAAAATATTCAGTATAATTCCCTGTGCTATATAGTAGGTCCTTGTTGGTTATCTCTTTTATATATAGTAGTGTGTATATGTCATGTTCTGCTGTTTTTGACAATGTCCTGGGATGTAAATTTCTATGTAGTCTGATTCAATTAAATTATTGCCAGCACTTAAGGGCTTAATGATGTACATATACAATAATTATATATATAATAATTATTATTATATGGAAGATGAGCAACTTAATGTTTTAAGTGTCATTGCCATTTTTTTTTCAATTTACATTAGCTTTATTGCTGTTGATTGAAAGAGATCAAGCTGGAACTAGAGATACTTCCTACGAATGTCATTCACTACAATTTAATAACTAGCAGAAAGCAAAACAAAGAAACCCCCAAAACCCAAAGCACTCTGTCAGTGGTTATGCAGGGACGGGCACCTAGGAATTTAAGTTGATATAGTTGTAAGATGTGTTTCTATATCATGGAACTTCTTGATAATGCCAATATTTTGTTAGGCCATGGATAACACCCATGTTGGAGGCTTAGATTATGATACAGTAGTCCCAAGGGAATACATTCCAAGACTCCCAGTGGATGCCTGAAACCAAGGATAGCACTGAACCCTATATATATACTGTTTTTTCCTATACATACATCCCTATGATAAAGTTTAATTTATAAAGTAAGAGATTAACAATAAATAATAATAAAATAGAAAATTATAGCAATTTACTATAACGAATGTTATGTGAATGTGGTCTCTCTCTCAAAATATCTTATTGTACTGTATTCACCTATGTAAGGTTGCAAGATTATAAAATGCCGATGTGAAGAGATAAAGTAAGGTGAATGACGTAGGCATTATGTAAGTGTCATTGCCTTTTCAATGCCATACGCCACCATCTCATAAGCTGTAAGAGAAGATCTGCCTAAGCATGGTGCCCAAATCATGTCTGTTGCTAGA